TGCGCAAGCCAGCCTGGGCAGCACCGTCCCCAGCGCTTCGCTGCTTTGTTTTATATCCTTCAAATGGCGGGGACTGGGGTGACAAGTCTCCATCTGCAAAACCCTGCACCACCTAAATGGTATTTAGTCCCGTGGGGACGTTTAACGGGAGGAAAGCAACGAAAGCCGGGCACAGAGCAGGAGGGACACAACCGCAGAAACAAGGTGCCCACCCCGGGAGCCGGAGCATGGCCTTGGCGGGGAGGGGACACAGCCAAGATCCCACCCGGGATCGTTCACCCACCGGGATGCTTGTGGCCATGGGACAGCGGGGCAGAGCGTTCGCTTGAACCCGGCGTGGCCCCCCCACCCCTGCCCCGCTGCCCTTCTCTCCACAGATCCTGGGCGAGTGGACCTACGTCGCCGGTGCCTCCAAGTACCCCCCTCACCTGAAAGAGCTGAAGGAGATTAAATACGCGACATTCTCCTTCTCCCCCGGCCGACACGAGAACGAGCTCAACACCACCGAGATCATGAGAGTGTAAGGATGGGGACACGGCCCCCCACCCAGCTCCCCATCCCCGGGGGTGTTTCCATCCCTGGAGCTGGGGAGCCGCTCTGCCGTGTTTATTGAAGCTCCGCAGCCCGGCTCGAGTTCTGAATCCCACGGGTTTGGTGGGGGCAGTCTGGGGGCCGTTGGCCCCGTCTGAGCTCTCTGCCCTGCAGGAACGAGACGTGCGTGAGGACGAACAGCAGCAAGATCCTGATCTTCCAGCACAACTCCACCCTGATGCACGGTAAAGGACCAGCCGTGGTCCAGGGCTGGGGTGGGGAGGGGGGCACCTTGCACCCTCCCGCTTCTGCCCGCTGGTATCTGGGACCCTAAGCCCCCAGCACAAGGCCTTTTTACATCAAAAACGGTGTCTGGAGACAGAGGGGGGGAAAAATTTCCTCCACCCCATGCAATGGGTTCCGCAGGGCTGTGGGACCCAATTAAGCCCCACCGGGACGAGTCTCCCCGGGTAAAGGGGATGAGTAGCCCCTCGCTAACGGGGCACCCCCTCTCCCCATGCCTTCCAGTCTATGAACAGGTGCATTCCACGGCCCACCTGATCCAGACCGACAAGGACCTGCTGCTCCTGCAGCACCGCAACGGCAACGTCCCGGGTCTGAGCCTCTCGGGTGAGTGGGTGCTGTCCCGGATCCGTGGGATGCGTCCCTGCCTGGGGACGCATCGATGGGCGCGGGCATCCCCAGCCCTCACAGACAGGGCAAAAAAGCCCCCTTTCCCCCTGCCACAGAGAGGGGAAAGATGGGAGCGGGCAGGCAGCCAGCTCCCCATCCACACCGCGGTGACCATCAAGGAGCAAAAGCATCCCCCTAAACCTCCCTTTCTTTCCCCCTCTCTTCTCCTTTTACCGCCCGGTTTCTCCGGCAGCGCGGACACTCAACGTGAGCAAGGAGCATCTGGAGGAGTTCAAAGCCCACCTCCACTGCCTTGGCTTCACCGAGGACGAGGTGTTCTTCGTGTCCGAAAAGGTCCGAGCCCTTCCCGAGGGTGGGCAAGCCCCAGCCCACCGGCTGGGATGGCGGTCCCGGGGCGGGGGGTGTGAGACCGGTTCCCTCCTGCAGCCCCGCTCCCCCCCAGCTGTTCCCAGCTCATGGGGCAGTTTTTGGGGCGAGGAGGTACCGACAGCCGCTCTCCACCTCCCCACCAG